GCGTATGGTGAGGCTTCTTTCATTCCTAGCTTTTGTTCGCTTGGTTCTTGCTCTTAGGTTCTGACGGGACTTGTGTATAGCAGTACTAGAGGAGCAACTCACGGCGTCCCACCGTGAGGTGGGGTAGGCCCGCCCTCACGGAGGCCCTTTGGGGGGGAACCACCACTAAGGCGCGGCCTCCGGAATCCGGCGGGGAATTGGCTTTGCTAGGTGATCTGGCCACCGCTGCGGAGGCTGTTGTGGCGATCGTGAAGACGAACGTGGCCTTCATGGGCATAGCTAGATTTTCTAGGTGGCGCCGAGCGTTCGTAGTCCAGCGGCCTGTGTGCTTCGCCTATGGCTTTGGTTCATGAATTGATCGCTTCCCTTCGTGCGAGAGCTGGCTACGGGCCACGCGCCGAGCTATACCTCTTATAATGCCGCGTGATGTGAGTGGTGAGAGTGTGTGTCGGTGGGGGCCCTATGTAAGCTCCCTTCATAGGCCACAATATCGCTGGCCGCCCTTACTGAGCGGGTCATGACGTTCAGGAGGTGAAATGCCTCCGAGATGAAACACGTGGGCTTTCCGTCCCTAGCTTCATCCGGCACTACGTGCTGATCGGTCAGGTTTGTCGTCGTGTCTACGCGCATATATGAACGTGTTCAAATAACAAAGAGAGTGATAGGATTGATATCACCAGTGCTTGTTCAGGGAGCAGACGCTTGCCCCACGGTTGCGGCGCGCATTGAGGAGAGCTCCCGAGCGCTCGCTTATAGAGAATTTGTCGTGGTTCCTAAGCCGCGAGCCGGCGAGGGCGCTTCTCGGCTGCTTGAGGCGGTCGTGGCTAGCGTGGGTCACACTCTTGGGCTGCCTCGGGCTCGCCTTTGCTGTTTCGACGCCTTCGGTGGGCTTGCGATCTTCCTAGGATGCCTTCTCCATGTCTTGTCTATCGTCGCTCTTGGTCAGGGGGACCTACGTGTCCTGGTGCTTGGGTTCTTCTGGTACGACGATGCTTTTGTCGCCGTGTCTCCACCTCTGGTTGCGACTGCCGCTTTTCGTGGAGGGCTGGTGTGTCTTGTTGCTGTGGAGGTTGGCATTGATTGCAGCGCGGTTTGATCCACTCATCGCGGCGCGCTCAGGGAGCTCGCCTCCTCAAAGGCACGTGCCTCCGTGCAATGTGTGACGGCCCGCAAGGACGCATCGCTTGGTCTGCCTGCTGCGCAGGATCGGATCCTGACTCTGGGTTTGACCCTTCGTGGAGTGATGCTGGTTGGCGGCTTGATTTCTGATGATGATGCCGCATGGCGGTGGGTAATTTTGTCATTCGTGCGCGCCCTAAGTCATTGCGCTCCGCTGTCGGGGACACTGTCTGGGGCCTGTTTCTACCGTTAGGTCTAGTTTTGCCATGCGACAGGCCTGGACCGGGTAAGAGCTAGTGATGGGCGTTGCCCCGTCAGTTCAGGTGATCTTGTGGTTCCCTATGGGGATGTGGCCACCGCGGGCCATTTCCCAGGAGAGGTCGCCACGAGTTGTTACCATCTGGCTTTCTGGGTGGAAGGCCTAGCCATAGCTAGTGATGAGAGAGGGCCCTAGGACCCATATGTAGGTAAATTCTGGGATGCATCCCTCATGGGCAGTTCTGAGAGTGCGCCCACCATAGGCCGTGGGACCCGGATTTCTAAGGTGGAGGTCTAGGCTGTGGCCAAGGGCGGATGCGGGCGCTAGCCCTTTGCTGTGGTTAACCGCATGGTTCCCTAGAAGGATGTGGCCGGTCGATGCCATTCTTCAGGCAAGTTCACCGTGAGCCGTGGTCCTTTGGTTTCTCGGACGGGAAACTTGGCCACGGTTTGCGATGAGTGAGGGTACTGGCCCCTCTGGGTGAGTGAACTCCGGGATGCAGCCCCCGATGGCAGTTCTAGGAGTGTTTCCACCATGGGCCATGGAACTCAGATTTCCAAGGTGGAGGTCTGGACCATGGCTGATGGCGGACGCGGGCGCTGGCCCATTCATGCTGATGAACCCATAGTTTTCACGATGGATGTGACCACCACAGGCCATTCCACCAGCGAGTCCACCGACGGTGCGAGGAGCCATCGCTTCATTCCTCAATCAAGCGAGAGTGCGCGACTGTCCCCTACCTAGCACGTCAACTGTCAATGTTTTATAAACTGGACTAGTAAATTTATACGATTGCCACGCTGCTCTAGGAAGACGATGGTAGCATCCAATAGCCACGAGGATTTATACTGGTTCAGGCCACAGCCCTACGTCCAGTCTCAGAGAAGATCGAGTGCGTGTTCCTCGCTTGAATGTTCTGAAGTTCTTACAATGGGGGTAGCCCGAAGAGAAGCTCCAGGAGCCCTACTGCTATGGATGGAATGGAGAAGGAGGTGGTAGAACATATGCTAGATAAGGGGTAGCCCGAAGAGAAGCTCCAAGAGCCCTACTGCTATGGATGGAATGGTAGAGGATGAAGAATGTGACCATGTTCCGGAGATGGGACCCTGGCTGCCCTTATATAGAGTTTGGGACCAGGGCTCATTACAAAGAGGAGGTTCCCCCACCGAAGGATCGAGAGCCTGAGGGGGGTCCTAGCTGACTTGGCTTACAAGCTACGCCGTCTTCTGATGCTCGCTCGGGTGTGGCTATCATCATGGTCTTGTGGCCACATCGCGGTAGGGTCTGACGTGGTGCTTCTGTGTTGGCCGTGGCAGCACTGTAGCCATGGTGATGGCTCATCAGCTGTCCTATGCAACGCGGCATCCGTCATGGTCTTCGCCGTCGTCTCTAGGTTTCTCGGGGTGTCGTAGCCGTAGTAGGTGGCCGCCTTGGGTCGTTGTTCACCCGGTCGCTCCGTGGGGCTGAGGGCCACGTCCCCGATCATTGGGGTCGGGGCACTCCGCCAGCCAGGAAGGTCTCTAGGTCGAGACCCTTGTCATGAATCCCATCCCATAGTGGGTGGGATCGTACGCGTGTCCTGTCGGTCCGTATTCGGACGGTGGGTTTCGTACCCGTTGCCACCGCTGTGCGATGCTGTCTCGTTGGTGCGGCGTGGCACAGGGATGTCGCCTAACCAGACCGTGGTGACTGTTGTCCCCTCAGTCCTTGTGAGATCAGTGCGGCGTGCCTGCTCTTGTCAGAGCATGCATACTGGGCCATGCTCGATCTCTCCCCATCCTGCCCAGGGGTCGTGATGGGAGAGAGGTCGAGCATCTTCCGTGTGGTTAAGGTAGGAGAAAGGGTCGCGGCTGACCCTGGCCTAGGCGTTGGCTTGGCGTGCTCATCCTAGCTGGGCCTCGGTCGATTGGGCCATTGTTAACCCGATGAGTTGTGGGCCGCGTGGCCTGCCAACTAATCGGCGCCTTGAGACACCCTGGGGTCATAACCCCGACACATTATAACATATCAATATTTATTAACATGATAATTGAAAGTACTCTACTTTTGATATTGTTACACATAATTCTTTGATAAGAAAACCCAACATCATGAGCATCAAAGGAGGTTAGTGCAAATTAAAGACGGCTATGACCTCCGATGTCTTTGAGATTCTTTGGTGTAAGTAGTGATTGTTAGGCTTAAACTTTAATATCCTCTTGTTGTTAACACCGTTGGCCCCCTAGATCTCACTTAAAGGTCTACAACTAATCTTAAGTGCTGTTGTGTAGGTTTAAATGACTGTTTACAACATCATAATAGTAAAACAGTACAAGCTACGAGCTAGAATTATTGTTTTATTAAGTACGAAAGTAGAGTTTTGAATAAAATGTACAGTAAGCACAAGGGTTTCAACTTAACTCGAGGATAAAAGGTTGTTGCAACTAATAAGATAAAAATTTCAAAGTCAAAATCGAGATTCATGACATTATGAGACATGCAACAAAGAACCACTATAACTTAAGCTAATGTTTTAACTAATGTGCCACATGAAGAGGAAGAAAAACTATTGGTATAGATGGAAAAACCTATAGAATAATTGATTTATCACAACTAGATAATGATTACATAGTAGTTATAAGCATGTTGTGTCAAAAATGAATAGAGAGAGAGAGTATGTGCAAAGATAAATAATTTTTATAGTCGTATGTATTTAACATGAACTTCTAATGCTCGTGTCTCTTTTATGAGGACTTTTAGGATTTAATTTTTACTTAATGTCAGATTTAACTTGAGTGCCTATGTTGTGTAGCCAGTAATAATAATATTATTAGTAAGGTGGTGTTTGGTTCACTCCACACCTCCTAAATTTAGTCTTATTTAGTCACTTTTACCTAAATGCTATGATTAAATAGGACCAAAAAGTGTATTAGCTAACTAGTCGCCCCAAGTGTTGCTAAATAGAACTAAAGCCTACCTTCTAGTCAAGGTGCCTCACATTTTAGTCATTTTGGATCAAACATCCTGACTAAAAGGGACTTAAAGGCCTCTTGTTGTCTATTTTAGTCCACCAAACAATATAGGAGGTGAGTAAACTTTAGGAACTGATTTAGGTGACTAAACTCTAAAAATTGTGAACCAAACACGCCTTAAGATGTGTTCTTACTAAAAGGTGGTAGACTGCATATTTGCATCCAGCTCGATTCTACATACTGTTGGCAGGACTGGTTGACCGTGCCATCAACTGCTTTATGATAGTCCATCCCCTGGATTTGACCCCATTGACACTAGAAAACTCTATCTCTGAATTTGACATGATCCGATGCTTGAGTGTTTATTCCAGCCGGCACTTACGCGTATAACAGGTCTGATAGTGATAGGCATAGAGATGGTTCCAATGGAAAAGCACGCTGTCATGAGCTCCCAACTCCCATGCTGAGCTGATTGTTTCCGCTTTCCTGTGCGCTCACAGCACTCTGTTCTACGGAAACAGCAGCATCCGGCGCCGCAAGGTTAAGAAAGGCGTGCCAAGGCAGCCGCGTCCGCCCCTAGAAGCAGATTCAATCAATAAGCATTGGCTTATAAATCTTGCGTTCCCGTTAGATGAGTTGCATAGTTCTATACTGTCCGTGCAGAAGCCGTGATGTGGGCGCGTTTCTGGTTTTCGGTGCCGGCCAAGAGGCCGCCGCCGCCGCCACCGTTTACACCTCCGCCTCCTCCTCCGGCGCCGCCTAAGTACGGCCCTCTTCCTGAGCCATCGTCCGTCGCGTCGCTGTACGACCTCGCTGGTAATTTCCTCGACCGCGCCAAGACAGTGCTGGACACCACCGGCGGACAGGCGGGTCTCGATGCCATCTCCTCCACGTCGGGCGCACGCCGTGCCGCGGCAGAGTTGACGGCCCCAGCCTCAGATGCGGCCCCCGCGGCCACAAAAAGTGACTCGTGGACCCTGAGTTCGCGCGCCGTGCACTGGATCATCGTGGGGGCCGTGGTGGCCGCGGTGCTTCTGGTTTTGTGCATGGTGGCCTGCTTCGTCCGGCGGAGAAGAAGACGGCGCCGGCGCCGGCCGGTGGTATTGACACCACCTCAGCTGCCACTGCCAGCACCGATGGTTTACCACAAAGGTACGTAGAACAAGGTGCTCAGGTATAGAAGCATCAGATGTGCTGTGCATGTCCTTGTCGGACACAGTCGCTAACAACTCGCTACTTGTGTGCGTGCGTACGCGTGGTGGTTCAGATGGCCCGACATGGCCAGTACTTCAGCAAGCGCCGTCTGAGCACTACTTCGCGCAGCAGCAGCGCCCCACACCTCCCCAGACGAGCGGCACGTTCTCGGACGCGGGATCCGAGAACCGCCTGCACTCCGTGGACATCGTCACCGAGCTGCCGACCGGAGGCTCGCACTCGTACGAGCAGCTCGCCGCCGCGACGGACGGTTTCGCCCCCGGCAACATCATCGGGCAGGGCGGCTTCGGGTGCGTGTACAGGGGGAGGCTCGACGGCGCCGAGGTGGCGGTCAAGAAGCTCAAGACGGAGAGCCGGCAGGGAGACCGCGAGTTCCGGGCCGAGGTCGAGATCATCAGCCGCGTGCACCACCGGAACCTTGTCACGCTGATCGGGTACTGTATCTACTCCGACGAAAGGTTGCTGGTCTACGAGTTTGTCCCCAATAAGACACTAGACTCCCATTTGCACGGTAAGTTACTGCAGGTTCTTGTTCCACGGTCCTGCATGTTTGCATGTTAGATGAATGTTCTTGGATTTGGTTTAACAGATAACCGACTTCATTTCGTGTTAAGATTTACATTGGACATTACATAGGGCACAATGGTCCACCGCTTGACTGGCATCAAAGATGGAAAATAGCTGTGGGGTCAGCAAGGGGCTTGGCCTATCTTCATGACGACTGTTAGTCAATACTTCTGCACATTTCTTGTTCTCTTCAGTTTCGTATCTAGAAGAGCGTACTGAACTCTGACGAGCTACTTATTGCCAGGTTATCCTAAAATCATACATCGTGATGTCAAGGCGTCCAACATTCTTCTTGATCATAATTTTGAGCCCAAGGTATCATTTTGACCAATATGGCGAAAATATTGCAGTACATGCCAAAACAGCAGGTGTACTGAGTTCTGTGTGTTCTCTAAACCGAGTGCACAGCATTTCAAGTGTGACCTTTGGTGTAACCTAATGCTGCACTTGAACAAAATTATGGTTTTGATTGAACTTTAGGAGTACGCTAGCTGTTAAGTTCACCAAGCACAGTTGATCTTCAACAATGTTCAGTAGCATAAACCTTTGTTTATTAGTGTGTCCTAATTCTTTGCAGGTTGCAGATTTTGGGTTAGCAAAGTATCAACCAGGAGATCACACTCATGTTTCCACAAGAATAATGGGAACTTTTGGGTCAGCCCTTTCATAGCCATTCTACAGCACCATCATTCAACAATTTCTCTCTTTGTTTGCAACATAAACTTCTTCAGCGGATGAGCGTCTAACCACCGTCTCTTCACTTGTTTTCTGCAGGTACATAGCTCCAGAGTTCTTATCTAGTGGAAAACTAACTGACAAAGCTGATGTCTTCTCCTTTGGCGTTGTTCTCCTGGAGCTGATTACTGGAAGGCTGCCGGTTCAGTCATCTCAGTCCTACATGGATGACACATTAGTTGGTTGGGTTAGTCCATCAGAAACAACTTCCTGAATTTACAACAACTGCTGTTATCAGATGGTTCTTTAGGTAAAAGCCTGAGAGCTCATTCTTATATGCGGTTGCTTCTGCAGGCTAGGCCCTTGATTCAGCAGGTTGCAGAGGATGGCAGCCTTCAAACCCTTGTCGATCCACGACTTGGAAGTGATTACGATCCATCCATAATGATGCGGATGGTCGAGTGCGCTGCGGCTGCTGTGCGCCAATCAGCGCTGCAGCGTCCATCCATGGTTCAGGTTCGTTCTCTGACCACTCGCCGCTGATGAGTTCCAATTCCAACGCTTGTGGTTTGCTTCAGAAATTTGACATGATGTGCTCCGCAGATCCTTAAATACCTGCAAGGGGAAACACGAGCAGATGATCTGAGTGGCGTTTTCAAAATTACAACAGTAGAGGAGTCTTACAGCTCCAGCATGGAATCCGGTGAATCCGTTGGACCGAGGCCAAGAAGAACGCAGCGGAGTCAGGGGAACACTAGCAACGACTACAACAGCGAACAGGCTCCGGGAGACAAACCAAACTGGAGCACTGGCAGCGTGTGGTGAAGTCTGAAGTGAAGATATTCTTTCCCGGATGAATGATGATGTAAAAATAGGAAGACAAATGTTCAACTTAGAGGAGTTCAACCTGTTTAGAACCCCGTTACATGGAAATTAAAGGTGGCTTCACGAATTCATCTATTCTGGGCTTTTGTCCAACAAATAGTGGACTTTCAACTAGGGATAATAAACTTGCAGAATCACAGAATATAATCATTTTTTCTTTCACTAACCTATAAAACCGTGCTATGCACCAGGAGTTCATGGACAAATTTAGGAGTACATACGAATTAATATGTTTTTCTCTTTGTTAACATATTTTTTAATATTTATGCAGATGTGGCAAGGTTATCAATTATATTGTTCTGTATGTTTTTTCATCTACACTCATAGTATTTTTCTTTTTGCATGGCACATCCGTGTTACTTCAATATGCATTTAATTAAATTTTAGCTGAAACTATGATGGCTCAGTGCTAATTTAAATTCATGTTTGGATCTTTCAATATGATTTTCGGAATCTTTCGGTGCTTTCCCTTCTAAGCCAAAACCTTCAGATCCTGGATCTAGAACTAGCGCTGCAAATCCACGGTGACCCTTAGATGAAAGTATGAAACTACACAAAATGAAACTATGCGAAGGACTAGCCTAAATAGACCGTTCGTCTGCTACTGGGCCTTGGTTGTCAGTGGTGCGTCGGTGACCGAGTGGCCCTTTTGCCAGTGCGAGTATATTAAAAAAAAAGTAAAGCAAATTTGCCAAAAATAAAAAAATCTATGCTTGCTTTCCTCTGTATTTTTTAAATCCAAAATGTTGCTGTTTCTTATCCGCGCATGTCCCCCATCAATCAGTTCCACAATCCTTGTCACCGGCTGAGCACGGAGAGGCAGGAGAGACCGGACTGGGAGCAACAACTGCGAGATGGCCGCGGCGGCGACCTCGGGCACGGCGATAGGGTCCTCGGGGAGATGGGCACTCCACGGAAAGACAGCCCTCGTCACCGGCGGCACCCGCGGCATCGGGTACGGCTTCCCTCAAACCCCTATCTAGTTTCTTCCGGCACTTGCAAACCCGCTACGGAGATTCAATCGAGCTCGCGTTCGTGTCGTGTAGGCGTGCGGTAGTGGAGGAGCTGGCGGCGCTGGGGGCGGCTGTGCACACATGCTCCCGGAAGGCGGAGGAGCTCGGCGAGCGCATCAAGGAGTGGGAGGCCAGGGGATTCCGCGTTACCGGCTCCGTCTGCGACCTCTCCGAGAGGGACCAGCGGGAGCGGCTGCTCCGCGAGGTCGGCGACCGCTTCGGCGGCAAGCTCAACATCCTCGTGAGTCAAAAAGATCACTTGCTCCCGTCCTTTTGTTCCTCTCTGTTTAGTCCGATGTCTAATGTGGATTTATAGCGTGTATAGAACTTTGACTACACAAGAAAGTATGTTTCACAATTCGGCAATTAGCAACGGTTAGGACCTAGGAATGGAAATGCTGAGTTTAGGAGGGCCGAGTTCCTGGTAGGATTAGGGTTGGGAGTTCATGTTTTCGGTTCCAGTCTCGTTTTGGCAAAGAGGTCGCAAGTCACAATGAATGGTTGAGATGGTGTCCATCTGACTGTAAAGATAAAGAGCATTAATGTTGCCCCTCGCTCAGTGTGATGACAAAAGTGGAACTTAGACCACCAATTTCTCATTCCTCATCCCACCTCAATTCCTATTGACTTCAAAGCCTAAATCCCTAATTCACATTCATTCGCACCAATTTCATCTAGCCAAACAACATCTAACCAAACAAGTTGTTTGTATTTATCACATACCTACATGGTAATGATACTAGTGATTCCTTCATAAGAATTATTTAAGACAAAGATGTACTGTATAATGGAGACTGTCTACGCTGAAAACAAGTACTAAAAAGAGCACAGAGACAGTATTTATCAATGACATGAACAGCAATAGGGTCTTGCAGTTTGTACACACCAAATTTGGAGTTGAGTCAAGTGAATTGTAGGAAGTCATTAGTCTTGACCATTGGCTCCCTTTTCTTTTCATTTTTATCTTTTGAAGATAACCTTTGGGTCCCTGCACCTATAAACTTTTTCAAGCGAATAGATGCACTGATGCAGGTCCAAACCTGATTTGATGGGCTATTAATGCTGTCCTATAACTTTTATCCTAACACTAACCATGTGCCTACAAATAAGATTTATAGGATTTCTTTTTTAGAACTGTCTATGTCAAAAACAAGTACTAGCATGGAGGTTCCTGCTTGTGCACACCAACTTTGGAGCATTGAAATGAACTGTGTTACAGGAAGCTGTTAGTCTTGACCCTTGGCTCCCTTTTCTATTGAAAAGAACAAAATTCTTGGTTCCTTGCATTCTTATACTTTTTTAAGTGAATGGATGCAACCATGCAGGTCCAATCCCATTTAATGAGTTGTTAGCGTGTCCTGTAACTTTTTTTTTCTTGAACACGCAGGAGCTGCATGCCTGCATACCATTTCATTATCATTAGATAAATGTCCTGTAAATTTGAACCTATTCAAGTTAAGCAACATTGACCATGCACCTACAAGATGTTTAGGATTCTTTTTCCTTGAAAAGAGGTATTGTCTCTATTCGCATCTAGAATCGGCTGCATTCAAATAATAGGAAAACAGTTTTTTATAACATGATCGAATTGCCATTTAGATTATTGAAAAGTGCCATGTTATCTCTAGTTGCTGATTAAATTATGTTTTGAAATAGATAAGTTTCTTAAATGCCCTTTACAAGTTTAGACACCCAACCCAAATGATACTAACTTAGAAATTTTGGGACAGGCAGTTCTTTTCAATTTAATCTTTACATCTTGGCAATGCAGTATTATGCCAAGACATGAAATGATTGGCTTACTTGTTTATCAATACAAAAGGATATCAAACTCCATGAAGAAATTCCCAGTGGAGATGTTCTGTTTTATGTTCATGTGCAGAACATTGTTGAATTCATGATCAGAGATTGATAAGGTTGCAAGTTCTTAATGGTGGCAGGAACTGTGTTGACTGATGGCAAAATGTGTCTACATTTTTATCTACAAGTTATTTGTAAACCCTACGATTCGCTTATTTACAGTCTGAATCTGTTTCATGTTGATTTATCCTGGCTTTCTTCATTTGATCTTTTAGGTAAACAATGTAGGAACAAACATAAGGAAACCAACTACTGAATTTACTGCAGAGGAATACTCGTTTGTGATGGCTACTAATCTTGAATCTGCATATCACTTGTGCCAAATTGCACATCCTCTTTTGAAATTATCTGGGTCAGGCAGCATTATATTCATATCTTCTGTTGCTGGAGCGGTGGCCGTCTTTAGTGGAACTATATATGCTATGACTAAAGGTAACAGTTGTACCCAATACTAAACAACCTTCTATCTCTTGGCAATATATGAATACAAGGTGTTCTTGACATGTGGCATGTATAACCAGCTAAAATTCTTGTTTAGGTGCCATTAACCAGCTAACCAAGAACTTAGCATGTGAATGGGCAAAGGACAACATAAGAGCCAACTCTGTTGCTCCTTGGTACATCACCACTTCACTTACGGAAAGAGTAAGAATCTTCTATTGTTTCATATTAACAAATTAAGTTTGTATCACACTCCATTCCAAAATATAAGTCATAGCTTTTCTAGATACATACCTTTTGCTACGCACATGAATATACATTATATCTAGATACATTGTAAAAACTATTTCTAGAAAAGCTAAAATGACTTAAATCTGAAATGGAGGGAGCATTTCCTAAATTGAAACCCTAAACCGTCCTTTCCTCTTATTACTGCTTTCTTTTGTGCAGCTTTTGGCAAATAAGGATTTCGAGGAACAAGTTGTGAGTCGGACTCCGCTTGGACGTGTTGGAGAACCTGAAGAAATATCGGCACTAGTTGCTTTTCTTTGCATGCCGGGTTCCACGTATATTACCGGGCAGACGATTGCTGTTGATGGAGGTATGACTGTGAACGGGTTTTACCCAACCAAGCCCTAGGCGGAAACTGGCATGTTTCTTTGTGGTGAGGAAACTGCAATAACGAGTGTTCTTGGAAGTTGTGTGTGTGGGGGCGGCGGGGGAGAGGCTAATAAAATGTAAGGTGAGCTTATGTTGGATATTGTTCATTACATCTTTACATAATTCTGTCAGATCGATGTGAAGAACGTTGTGTTTAGATCTGACCAGTGTTCTGCAATTCTGCAATGACGCCAGCTTGTTTTGACAGTTTAATTTCATCCGCGATTTTTTTTTCTACCAATGCTGCAGGAAGTGTTACGCTCTACCTGGTCGAACTGTAGTCTACCTCTTACCATGCGATGCGCGTGCCAATTTTCTCATGGGCCAAATTCGTTTGTGGGCTGTTGTGTTTTCCGTCCGCTTATCCGATTTTCTCATGGGCTGGAGTAGACATTACATAGAAACCACATTTTTAAATGTCTTCTCTTATTCCCCTAAAAAAAATGTCTTCTCTTATATCATCTACCAATCACGTTGCGCCTTTTAGTTACACATCACTGCTATATAGTACATATTAGAAGATTATTCTTGGTTGTGTTCCGTTATCCATCCACGATCGTGGTCAAATGTACAGTTCTACCGGAGCCAGGTGCAGAATGTTTTGGTTTACATATGATTAGTGCTGGTACTCTGCAAATCTGCGAAGACGCCATCCTGTCCTGCGAGTTAATTTCATCTCCAGCCGTCGTTCAGCGTTTAGTGTCACCGCTTTCGTATCCTCCGAGCATCGGTTGAGCGGGTGGCCTGAGTTAAAATGCTTTCTGTATGAGCTGTCCGGAGTCCGGAGCCCTTGAGAACAACGGCAGGTGAGGAACCTGAACGCAGCGGCGAACGCTTGTCACCCTAACGCTGCTCATGCCTGGTACAGCTGGTGCTGAACAGAAGCTTGCAAAATGGTGCCGCCCGAGTCCACTGTCCGTCCGAGATGCTGCGGTTACCCCCACGCCCCACTGTCCGTCCGCCCCG